TTGCAGCTTTCCACCTGCCGCTTCAACCGCATACGTTCGGCTGCTCTGCTTGCTTCGGCTTCTTTAAAAGCTGGATTGCTTCTCGCAACGCGCTTTGCCGCAACATCCCTTGCTCTTTCAAGCGCCCGGTAGCTATCTTGGCGCACTGCGGCGTAATTCACACCTGCAATCATTACACACGTAAGTTCGGTGAGTATTATACATATGCAGTACGCAGTAAATAGACTGTGAAATCTGCTATATCTTACCCGAAGGCCCTGGCTCCGCAGAGTTGCTTCTTCCTGCTTCGCCAGAGTTGATTGCCCTTGCTGAGGGAACCGGCTGTGAAGCTGCGAAATGGTGAATCACCACATCGCAGCTCGCTCCCTCACGCTGCTCAGGCGCCCCAGAACTGTCCTGGCGTATTGCGGAAAAATTCACACCTGCAATCGTTACATATGTAAGTTCAGTGAGCATTATACATATGCAGTGCGCAGTAAATAGACTGTGAAATCTGCTATGTCTAACCCGAAGGCCCCGGCTCCGCAGAGTTGCTTCTTCTTGTCTCATCTTCTTGTCTCTCCACATCACAGCTTCCTCCCTCACGCTGTGTTGAAGTCGCCATTCGGCGGCGACGTTTTCGCTCGGCATCGAGTTGCCGGGTTCTTTCTCGGCTGATTTGCCGTTCCGCCTCTGTTAACTTTCTTCTCGGCATAACAGTAGGGTAGTAATCGAACCTTAAAAGCCAATTTCTAACACAGTCGCTAGCTATATGCAGAAGGCAACATTTTTGAATGCAAGTACAAAATGGAAAGAGGTGGACATATTAGTAGAGGAAGTAGTGGATCATTGGAAAACCTAATAATCGTTCAAAAATTGGCTGCAAAAAAGATGTCCGGTTTAATTGAGAACCCTTCCTAAATGACACTGATCTGGAAACCTCGAAAGGTATATCAACAAAAAAAAAGTATCAGCTGCATTTAAGCAGTCCGTTATTTCAGTAGAGAGAGAAAGTGTAAAATGAAAAGGTGTTGCTCATGACGGAACCTCAAATTTGGGTGTTTAAACACTAACAAATTCTAGAAATTCTCAAACTTCAACATCTGC